CACGATTGCTAGGCTAGCGGAGTATCGGCTGAACGCACCCATTGCTATATGTTGCACAGTTGCACCAGTTCAGCCAGTGCAGCTAAAAGAAACAGACGGAGACGGCATGTTTTTCAATGTGCACGTTGTGCATCCAGCTTTTAAACAATTGTAATTATATACATATCATCAAAGCTGTATTTTGGTGGTAATTATTATAATTTTCAACGTATCAGAGACTTACAATGTAAAATTTTTCTTATTGCATTATAAGGAGCGCGATAAGAGCTTCAAGAATTCTATAGTTAGGTTATTAATGTATCTTATCTCAGGCTTATATTTTCAGATAATAAAGTCTACGTTTGTCGTTTGAGAGAATCAGATTCCTTATATTGTTTAAAAAGTTTAAAAAGTTGCAAAAATATTACAATAAGAACCATGAGTTGTCAGAAAGGAAACGCTAGTCGTTCGAGGCCTCAAAGATACCAAAATCACACGTCCTTTAAAAACAATCTACATGACAACTCTCAAAAAACAAAGCTAATTAACAGCATTGAAGTTAATAATGTATGCGAGCGTTGTAAAAGAATAATAGAGTGGAAAATCAAATATAAGAAATATAAAGCGCTTAAAGCTCCAATGAAGTGTACCAAGTGTGAGCAGAAAACTGTGAAACATTCTTATCATAATATCTGCTTGCTTTGCGCTAAGCAGCAAGGAGTTTGCCCGAAATGTGGACAGAAGAAGGAAATTGTAGAAGGGAAACCTAGTAAAGAAGAACAAATTAAACTAGATGCTGAGTTTAAAACAATTCTGAAAACGATGTCAGAACGAAAACGAAGAACATTCTTACGTTATATCAGTCAATCGAGTATGTAGTTTGTGTGTTGCGTATTGAATTATTTAACAGAATTTTATTTATGTATGTATTATATACGTAATAGACATAAATGTATGTTTTCATGTAATGAGCAGTGCTTGGTCTGCTTTTTTTTTTTTTTTTAGCAAAAAATAAGGAAAATAGTAAATCTCGTACCCCTGGATTTGACACCGATACAGATGGAATTGACAGCAAAGATGGAAATGAAGATGAAACAAGTTCGAAGAGAAGAGAAGATTTATTAATGAAACTAAAATCGTTAGCTGTAGAAGACGATGATGACATTGATAGTGATACTGATGATGTTAACAGTGATGTTGAAGATTTGTCGTGATACAAAAATATTCTAAATAAAGAGTTTTTAAAATATAATCTTTTTATTTCGTTTTCATAATAATAAGTCACTATAAATATTTGAGCATGTTAAACATATATCGATTGTTGTGAACATATCAACTTGAAGTTTACACCTTCATATTTTATTAATAATTTCATAACGATCATTATGTCATGAAAAGTTTTTATATTATCGTTTAAACTGGTTTTTCTTTGTCCTCCATTTTTATTGTTAGTTGACGTATGTGAAAAGCATAATAAAATGTAAAATCTATAAAAACCAGGAATGTTAAGTTGTACCATAAAAGGTGAACTATTTAACAATTATTTATTTTGATAACAATACAAACTACACGAATTGTCCCTTTTATATTAATATATAAATTTGTGAATGTAGGTCCTGGTCCAGTTTACAAATTGCCAACGTTAATTGGCTATAGTGGCCATGATCCATCTCGGCATAGAAGTCCAGCGTATAGTATACGAGCTCGAACTGGTATCAAGTCTTATATGATAGGGCCTGGTCCTCATTACGATGTCAGAAATTTAACAAAATCTGGGCCGGACAATCCACCTGCTTACACAATCAGAGGAAGGAAAGCATGGAGCTGTGAGTACAAGAAGGTTCCTTCTTAACTACAACTTGAGAGATGCAGGAAATTAATATTAATTCATTTAACTTAATATTTCGTAGTGCAAGACCATGCTCCAGGACCTGGAGCATACTCCCCCGAGTTGTGCCCACCGATGAATCATAGTCGTAGAGCACCAGCTTACAGTATCAAGTCACGAGGAATGACTAAGTATCTGGATGAAGGGCCTGGACCAAATTCGTACTATTTGCCAACGTGCATAGGGCCCAAGGTGCCTGATAAACCTGCTCAGGGTGCATTTTCCATGTAAGAAAACGTGGCTAAATCTGTTGCCATTCAATTGAATATGCATATGCGACAAAATCAAAATCATCTCTTTATTTATTATATCATATATTTATATTTATAATATAAATGTATTTCATATCTTTTCAGGATTGGTCATCGTAAGACACGCGAAGAAATTATGGGTCCAGGCCCGGCTGCATACATCAAAATAAACTATGATACGATAAAACGACGGAGTCCGGCGTATAGTCTAAAGGGAAGACACATTTTATTAGAAAGATATGACGGTCCGGCACCAATCTTTTATCCATTGTACGATACGCGAAAACGTTCTCCTATGTATTCATTTGGTATAAAGCATAGTGAATGTACCGGAATACCTATGACACAGCTGGACGAGGATTAATTTTATAATTAAAAATTGTTATCGTATTTTTGGTATTTGTGCAATAAATCTCGAATCTATTGTTGTCGGAGGTTTGGCATTACGTGTACATTACATTACATTACATTACATTATATTAAGGCCTTCGCACAATATAAGGAACAGATATTAGCAATTAGGACCTAGGACTAAAGAATCAGAAATAAAGCTGGATGAGCTGGATGATGCACAATAAAAAACACAAGCAACAAAAACAAAGAATAACACGGGTACAGAGTTTTAACCTATCGGAAGCCGTGTATCAATGCTACATCAGCTTTTGGATTTCTTAATTCCCTAATCGCTTAATATCCTGTTCCTTATATTTTTAAATTCCTTCCTTCCTATTTGGCCTTACATTTTTGATTGTGCGCCGTGACGACTGACGAATACAGGCACACAAAAAGTATGTACAACAAAAAGGAAACGGTGGCGCGATCTTGCATCACTGGAGAGAACGTTCGCGTAAAAAATTATCAACGGATGTTACACCGTAGTGTAATACGTATGTATGTATGGCCTTAAAAAAACGAAGCAGAAGGGACGTTTCTGATTTCTAGTGTGATTAGATAAACTGAATACATTGTCAAATGATAATTAATGTGGAAGAAATGCATGTTCTAAATCATTGATGGAGATTAAGGATGTACTTGCATTATCGGCATCAATTTGTACAGTTTTACAGTTTCTAGCTGGCGTGTGAGTATAATACGATAACAAATAACCTTGATAATTTACTAAGCATTTGATTTTTTATTTATTTAAAAAATTTATTACCGTGATTTATATATATGCCTTCCTTATATAAAAATTTATTTAATTTAACGTTACATATCAATCTAGATGATTAATTTCTTTTCGTATGACCCATTCATTTACGTATTTTTTTATTCGAATGTAATTTATCGTATATATTATTTTACTTATTTTTTACTCAGCATAACACTGACATAATTGCACATTTTGTTAAAGATTTAATAAAATGTTAAATTAATACTTTTATCGGATCTTATATGAAACTACATTATATTTTACCATGTAGTAATAGTACTAATAGTTAAATTCTATTGGATTTGTCTATCAAACAAAGTCAATAAATTTTCTTGTACTTACTTAGATTGGTATGCAAGAAATATATTAGAAATGGTACAACTGGGGATAGCTCGGGATTGGCCTTTGTGACGTGTTTCATGTCGTACGTATCGTAATATAATTAAGCAATATTTGCCAATATTAGTAAATAACGACTTTAATTTAGAATTCTATTGTTATCATTACAGTTGTAGTCTGTGGCTAAGATATGGAATACTTATTGGAGATTCATTCATTATATCTGTAAATATATTTGGAACAATATTACAAATATGTTATGTATTAATTCATATTTTATACAACGTAAAAAGATCAACTACTATTAAGCAGTTTACAGTAGCGATTTGTTTGGTTTTGCTTGTATATCTGTACAGTATTTATCAAAGTGACAAAGTTTTAGCTGAGAGATATGTAGGATTTCTTAGTTGCAGTTTGACTATATTATTCTTTGCATCGCCATTGATATCACTTGTAAGTATGAAATAACACATCTTGTTATATGTATTCACAAAATCTTATTGAATAGTTCAATTAATGAAACTTTTGATTAGATAATTGGTCTTTTCTTTTTTATATTATACTAATTTTTATTATATATACTGCATCGGTAATCGATAGTTGTAAATTTGTTATAGGCACATGTGATAAGAATGAAAAGCACAGAAAGTTTACCATTTCCAGTCATAATGGCCTCCATGATAGTATCCTGCCAGTGGTTCGCATATGGATGTCTGCTCAGTGACCAATTTATACAAATACCAAATTTTATGGGTTGTATTTTGTCAGCTTTTCAACTTTCTTTGTTCTTGATTTACCCAAACAAACGAGCAGATCAAGCTTATTTTATATGAGAAGATTAATAATATATTTTGCTCTATGGATTAATCAGATCGATTAATACTGTATATAATGAAGTATTACATATTATAAATCAATAATTTTTCATAAAGTAGTATATTTTTATTTTATCCTGTGCTATATATATATATTTGTATTAATTTATTAATTTTTCATGTTACACATAAGTAGCTCTTAATAATATACATATGTTAATCATTTGATTTTTTTTTACATCAATTTTATTCAAGTGCGAAGAGATAAATTCTTAATTTTGGATCATTAAGTCTTAATACCATTTCCAAACGAAGGATTCCGCACATTTTATAGGTGGTTCCGATTAAATTGGCTGAAATTGAAAAATGTGGTTTAGGTGGTGCTGATCAAAAGTTTTCACGGGTCAAAGTCCAAAAATTATAACTATAGAAAATACGAAGGTTTAAAGTGAGTGCCGTTGGAGTTTTGGAAATGCTTGTTTTTGAATACATAATGTATAGTGTTAAATTAATATATAAATGTTTAAAATATATAATACTTAAATAAATATATTACAATTCTTTGTAAATGCATTCTGATTTACTTGGAATAATGTGTGCTTTAAAAATAATGCACTATCACGTTCCTTCGCTTTTTCAAACATTGCACCCGTTGGTAGAAGCCAGGTATTCAATAATAGTGATGGATAATTCTTTCTTATGTTCGGAAGTTAAACGCATGCCATTGTCACAATGCTCCATTTTGCCTTCAGATATTTTAAAAGACTCGCTCACAAACTTTTGTACATATGTATATCATGATACGCAAAAATTCCGTGATTGATGTATTTACGTGATTCTCGACTCTTAAAAAATAAATTGATTTAAATTTCCTTAAATCATATAATTTCATATAAATCTAAATATTTTATCATTGTTTATATTCTTACGATAGATGCTTTTGAACAGCATAAATGTTTCTGAAGACAAATGTATTCTTTCGGATTGAGGTATATCATAAATTAAAGAGTTATATATATGTATAATATACATATACATATACATATAAAACTAACAATTGACAGATAAATTAGTTCAATGTATGTAATACGTTGTTCTTTTCTGTTTCTAATCTAATCATAATTGTAATTGGACAATTAAACACTGCGACACTCACAGCATTACAGCACTACAAAGTCTTTTGTAGTGTTAGTCACACTACACAACATATGTCATTATTCTGATATTATATTATATGATATATGTAATATGAGCTTGGTTTATTTTCTCACACATGCACCCACAAAATTAAATAAATACACACACACACATAAAATATATTTTAAATAAATTGTTAAATGTTTTTTGTATCTTGGATAACATTTGATAATTCGTTATCAAAGCATGATAACATGTACATGTCTATTCACAATTTAAAATCAAAACGATCATGAATCTTCTAATCTTTTCAAAGTCCATTTTTTTCTCAAAAATAAGTCCTACATGAGAAAATATTATACAAAATCATCACCTTGCTACTTGTATCAATAACTCTCTTCACTACATATTCAAGATTAACCTCTCTTATGTTTCTGATTTCAAGAAGAAGTATGGTACTCTTATGTTTGTAGAAATATATTTCTTATATTATTTCTTTAGACTTGAAATGTTTTTAAGATATATTTATCTTTCGAATTAAGTTGTATACACTCTTTACAATACAAACTCTGCAACGTACAAGGTATTAACCAATCAATTTCTAACACTTTATTTTTGATAGAAATAAATTTTCTAAAGGATAGTGATGGATAATTCTAATTTGCCAGCTAAAACGTTAATTTACTCGATTTATTCTCAATTTTAGCCGTGTCATAAAGCCATTATTTTATATTTTACATTGGCAATTTATACCTGTAAAACTGTAAAGATTAAAATATTCTTTTTTCAAGATTACATTTTATAAGCATGCAGTCAATGTGTTAGAACATTTCGTACAATGTGTTAGAATATTATAATGTCAAATTTTAAATACTAGTTAAACATATATATTTGTTTTCGTATGTTTTTGCACCTTATTCACAAAAAATCTAATATATTTAATATACATACACTCTATGATTCTTTATTTATATGATATAATAAGTTTTAAAAACTTGAAATAATATAATACAGCACATATATGTATTTGCAAGCATGAGACACACTCACATAACGTCCATTACATAGGTATATTAAATATATCGTTTTATGTACGCTTATTAATCATGCATAAATCAAGATAATAATATGCAGTAATGATATCTATATAATATTCACTTATCTATTTATTCATTTGTTATTAAAATAATAATTCCATAATAATACAAAAAGCCATCTTAAATGACTGTCAAAATATAGTATAGACAGTACACAGATAATGAAAGAGAAAAAGAAAAGAATAAAAAATAATAGTAATAATACTGAAAATAAATAAAAAGTAAAGCCACAATGATAACACAATAATAGATATAATAATTGCAATGAGTGTTATATCGTAATTAATAAAATATCAAGATTAGAATCAATTTCTAGAAAGTACTTATATGGATAATATTTATGATATTTCATAATATAATTATATTGCAGGCTCGTAAAAAAAAAAAAAAAAAAAAACAAATTTTACCTATCTCTGTCTTACTTTCTCAAATAAATTATATTTAATCAAAATTATTTATTTATAGAAAATAATTTGAACATTAGACAGATCTTAATCTCGAAGTATAACATGTATTCAAATATAAAAGTATTAATACTTTTCGAAAAGTATTTATAATTTCTAAATTACGAAAAGTATTAATAAAATATAAATATTCATTAATTCCTAATTTGCTAGATATGACCTTAACTATGTCTCATCAAATGACGAGACTACTTTAACATTGTTTTTTTGTGATTTGAAGGATTCGATACCATCTCTTGTCACAGAAGTACCAGTAACATCCAAGTATTCCAATCTTGATGCATTTAAAGCCAAATGGATAAGACTCGAATTTGTTACACGTGGATAATTTCTGAAAAAGAACCATTTAAAGTATATTCTATTTATTTTTCTTGAGTTTTTAAACTTTTCGGTATTTCCTGTCAAGTAAATCAATTGACTTACCTAACGACTAATGTTTTAAGATTTGGATTATTAGATATCCGTCTATCTTCTCGTAATATTATCATTCCTTGTGGAGCAAGGAAGCTATTTACAACTTCCCTATCGCAAGTATCGCTTCCAAGTGCACAGATTGCTCTATCTGATATCAAACATCGTTGAAATCCATAATTCTCAAAAGAAAATGCATCCTCGACTAAAAACTAAATTAAAAAAATTCTTTTTGTTATCAGGCATTTTATACTAAAAAAAAAACATGTACTTATCGTTGTATTCAATACTTATAAATATACTTTCTTCAAATACCTGTGCTAGATTGCCGTCTTCAAAAATGGGTAATCGCAAAGCCTGTTGTTGTATAATCGCTTCGGGCGATTCTTCATTTCTCCATGTAGAAGGACATTCCAAATAGAGATGCGTTAGAGTTTTAGTACTACTAAAACAACCAACTTCACTATCTCCAAGTGCTGTATCCCGTAAGTCTAAAACCTTATATAAAACATAAAAATATCTCTTTTCAGTGGAAATAAAATGTCTTTCCAGTAAGATTAAGCATAAGAATAATTGCTATAGTATGAATTAAAATATACATAAATAAGAAAAATATTATACCTCTAATGTCTTGAATCCAAATCTAGTTGCTAAACTAGCATAAGCAACACACTCGCCCAGACGGTGACACGAGTTCAATCTGAGTTCCTTAAGTTTTGGTATTTTGCTGATAACTAGTAAGGAATGCGGCGTAAACCATTCACAATTACTTAAGATCAAACACTAAAAATAATATTAAATGTTTAATACTATACAACTGCTGTAGATTATAACCTACAGCATAGAGAGAGAAACGATGAATAAATATCATATATATATATATATATACACACATGCATACATGTGTATTGATTTCATCATGACTCGAAATAATTTTTTGTCCATATAGACAAATTTTTATTTTAAAAACTAAATATGTATATAAAAATCAGAAACAAAATAATTTAATTATTGAAAAATAAATCGAGTGTCAAATATATATTACAAGTAAATGTATTTCATAGTATCAAAAATACAGAAACAATGTACTATTTTGGACGTTAAAAGATCTATGTATGTATCTACATATAAAATATCAACTTACTGTCAAATTAGGCATGTGAAGATCCATTTTAAAAAAATAAGACTTATTATTTTGTAAGTAATTCATTTTGCAGCCTTTTAATGAAAGCTTTTCGATAGTACATGGAAAATCTGTTATATGAATCTGTAAAAGTCGCATTGTAGTAGATTAAATATATATTCTTTTATGATAGAAGGAAAGAGAAAGACAAAAAGAAAATAAACACCTTCTTTATATCAATAAACATTTTAAACACAAGAATATGATATGACATTATAAACATTTCTATAATATACCTTATCTCCATTGATGTAATATTCTTCAATGATCAATTCTTTAAGTTGGTCGCATAGCGTTTTCACATTGTTAAAAAATTTTTGTGTAAGAGATGAACCTTCGCGACAAATCAGATTGCCACGTATTGCTAGACTCATTGTTATTGGCTGTAAAAACTTCATGTACTGATTCAAATCATCTAGAAGTATAGGGTTTGTTCGAAAATCTACTCTTCTCCACAGAGTTCTGTCTTGCGCTAACTGCGCAAATCTTTGACAACATCTGTGATTCAAAGAAACCAATTATAAACAATCATAAAAAATATAATATAGAAGATATGATAGAGATAAATGCGACTCACAAACTGATCGCCATGAGATCTTGCGGATGTAAATATTTCAATATATTAAGTAAAACATCATCCGAGAATTCAAGAATGTTTAGAGATGATGTTGTTCCATTAAAATTTGCAAATTCTTCAAGTTTTATACGTTTTGTATCTTTGCTACTAGATGGTTCAGGAGAAAGAGACTTACTGCGCTTT